TAATCAATGAGTCCAGGCTAATCCATTAACCGTGAACATGGTTACACTTTTACATCCCTATCACAAACATGGATTTACCACTCCACATTCTCTCTATTCCTTACTTTGAATTTTATTTTTGGATACCTGTGGAACTCACCCTTCCCCAAATAAAGTTTTTCTCAAGTTACCTTGTAAATTTACAATTAACCATTTTGAGCATAGAAATGTTCCAGGCAATTGATCTTACTGGGGTGGTTTTGGCAAAATTTCCTTGAGAGGTAATATCTCTGGCCTTATGCATAATGTATATATGGGAGTAGACCCATTAAGTTAATGGCACTTTTTGCATACTAAAATTAGGCACATAAGTAAATCTTTGCAAAACTGGTTACTGTATTATAATAAACTACTGTTTGTCCTCCTGAGCAGGGGACTATACCAAATCAAATACCCGGCTATCAGTGTGATTATTAAGATATATTTTCATATGTATTATATTTGAGGGTATGAATACCCTAGAAAATCTGCAACTATTCTTCAGAACCAACCCCCCACAAAAATCATATGCAAACTTTGCAATCAACACTGGGGCAAGCCTAACATTTTTGAAGGTGGTTTAGTGAAACAAGTTCCTGGAAAGTTTATACGATCCTCGTTGGTTGGTGTGTTTGGACATCAAGGAACCAGCTATTGCTGGTGGGAGCTGAGTGGCTTTTTAGTATTGCTTTGTACTACCCAAGACTTGGAAAAAGCCAGACTCCTTGAATGGAGGCATTTACATTCTAAATGAATAGCTGACAAAATTTCTTTAATATATATAAACAAACATCCTCAAGAAAAACTAATAAAAGGATTTAGTCTATGGCAATTCTTAAAATACAGGTCATGATATGATTAATCCTTTGTCCATAGATAAAAATTCCTACCCTCCTACCTACAATTGCATTTAAACATAGTTTAATAAAGCAAAGGGCATATATATCAAGTTCAGACAACATAAAATCTTTTGTCAGTTGCACCTCTGTGAGTTTGGCAACATCCTTGTCTCTTTAAAAATAATAATTAAAAAACCAATATTGATCATATAAAATAGTTACTAGTTAGTCTACCACAGTGCTGAGGGCTATACAAGTGCCTACACATGCATTGTTATCAGTAATAGGTTTCACAAAGCTTCTGAGGACACATAGCTTGGACATTTCCTGCAAAAATGCTGAGGTACCTGTGGTGCCTCAGATGTTAGAGCACTCACCTGAATGATGGAGCTGGGGTCAATTCCCTTCTCTACTTGATAGGAAGGTGGAAGATGCCTTTTCAAATCATACCACAATAGTGTCCCACCCACTGAGATATAGGATATTCTGATACAAGTCTCTTTCAACCTCTCCTAGTGAAGCTGTTCCTCTGATTAGACAGCAGAACCTCAACAGGGGTATTGTGAATGCCAGTAGTATCCAAATATTGAACTTTAACATCAATGGCCTTTTTAAAATCTAGTCTGTTGTTAATACTCTAGTTTTCATTACTGTTGTATTTGTGATGAGGGTTGGGAAAAATTAAGCAGAGAACACTTAAAAAAAAGCCAGCAGTGAAAAAATCTGCAGAGCCTGTCTTGCACTGTAGCAGGCACAATATCCTCTATTCCTCAATTGCTTCTGGTTCTCTCTCCCTATGGTATACTGCATTGTTTCTCAACTTTTTTTTTTAAAAAAAAGTACTCCTTTTAACAAAAAAAATTAAATACCCCCACCACCTAGAGTTTTCAGATACACAAACATTTTTTCTACCACTGCAACACATTTGTTTAAAAAACTTAATTGTAGCTGGGTGGGCAATGAAATTTTGGGGTGTGAAAAGTAGAAAAATAATAAAGCGCTGTAAAACTTAAAACAAAAATTCAGTTCTCCAAATTTCAGTTGTTGGCGTACCCCCTAGATGTCTCTCGAGTTCCCCTAAGGCAGTAGTCTCCAACTTTTTAAAGCACAAGATAAATTCAAAAAGTGAAGTAAGTCCAGGATCTACCTCAAACCCAAATACCCCTGCCCCACCCCTTCTGAAGCCCTTCCCTCTTCACTCTGTGGTGATGGGGTACAGGAGAAGGGGACAGAATGACATATGTGCCCCCTGCCTCTTTCTCCCCCACCCTGCACAAGAAGCAAGAGGTTCCCAGGGGGCAGCTCTGAGGCTCTGGGCAGGAACAGCAGGGTAGTGAAGAGAGGAGCAGCTGAAGTGCCAGCACTTGATAGCCTCCCAGACAAACCAGTCAGGATCACCTGCCAGAGGCTCCAAGATCCACTGGTAGATCCTGACCTACTGGTTGGTGACCATTGCCCTAAGGGCACTCATACCACTGGTTGAGAAACACTGGTATAATGCGGTGAATACATAGTCTTTTACTGTCAGCACACAAACTGAGACTTTATTTCAATCCAGGCTATTGGTTCAGATATCTCCTTGTCAACTGGAATCCACAGAGTGTGTTCCAAGTACTGATGTGGGCTTTTAATTTTCTGGTGTGCAAGAAGTTGTTGCCTCATAAGTTCTTTACTGAAATCTACAAGGTCAACTGTGAATCTAACCCAGAAATATTTTTCCTCCTCTGTACCTGCCTCTCTGTTTTTCTGACTTAGGTTTATCATAAAGTGTATGCAGTCGAGGTCCAAATATTTAAACTTGTGTGTTATGGAAACAAATAGTCACCCTAATAAAAAAAGTAATAACCACATTTCAGGTTTAAGCGGGGATGTTAAAATACACTTTTGCAAAAATTAATGTAACCACTGAAAATTTCACTGGTTACGTTTACACGCAGCTCTCCCCGCCCCTGCTGCTGCCTCTGTGAGAGGCACAGGGAGCCAGATGCCTGCCTCCCATCTCCCCCACTGCCTCTGATACAGAGGTAGCAGGGAGTGTGTGCATGCGCATGCCTGTCACCAGGAGTTACCCGATGAGCTCAGGCTTATCAGTTAGCTGTGTACCCGAGTACACGTTAACATCCCTAGTTTTAAGACAGTATCTAAGTATTATGAGGTTAAGGAGGTACTCTCTTGGAAGGCAGATTATCTTACATCTGCTTAGTACCATTTCTTACACATTTCTGTGAAGCATCTGATGTTGGTTATTGTCAGAGATGGGATCCTGGGCTAGATGAACCAGGTGTCAGATTCAGTAAGACATTTGCTATGTGTCCAGGGGCTTCAGATTTTTCAGCAGTGAAGTTTTGTATTTATATAGTATTTATATAATTTTGGTTAGTTCCTCCAACATTATTTGGCTTCTCTGGAAATAGTCTTTGGTATTGGGAAAGCCACCCTGGCTTATTCCTCCAGCTTTGTCACCATTATGGCATCCAATGTTCCCGCTAACTTTTTCCATCCACGAGTTACTACTGCTCACTGAGCTGGTTTTATTATGTCGCTGTGACAGCTGTCTCCTGTCAGCATAACACAGCTATATGAATGCTCTTACAGCAGCAGAGTTGGTGCAGTTGTGCCACTGAAAGCTAGTAAGTGTATTCACTACGGATGTTAAAATGCATTTAAGTAAACAGTTACCCACTGCAAATTTCAGTGTTGCATGCGGGAGAAAGCAGTTGGCTCCTGTTAAGTCAGCTCCCTACGCACACTGGGAGCCTGAGTGTAACTGTGAAGGTTAACTGATGAGCCCAGTTATACTTTCACACCCCTAGTACACATGGTCTCCAGGTTTGCCTACACTTAGGACTTGTCCACACTTAAAATACTACCATTGCTGTGCTTCAGTATAGACACTACTTACCTATGTAGGTGGGAGAGATTCTCCTTGGTGTAATTCACCTCCTTGAGGCAGTAGTTAGGCTCATGAACAAATTCTTCTGTTGACCTAGCACTGGCTATACAAGATTAGATCAATTTAGTTTACATGACAGAGGTAGCTAGGCCAATATAAGTTCTTGAGATAATCAGTTGCCAACCTGTACCATGAACACAGGAGAAGAGGGGCGCTGATGTCAAGGTATCCTATCCCAGTCCGTATCCTATGTCCACAGAGCAGGGAAGGGGGAGCACAACAGGACTTGGGATGGAGGGAGTTTGGCTGCTTTTGGGAATAGTGCAAGGCCAGGGCTGGGGTGAGCCTGTCTTAACCCCACTGCACCACCACCCAGGAGCCACCTGAGGTAAGCGGTGGTCCGCTGGAGCCGACATTCTAAACCCCAAGTAATGAATCCCCTTCTGCACTCCAAGCCCCTGCTTTAGCCTCAAGCCCCCCTGCAAACACCCTCCCAGAGCCTGTACCTAGAACCCCAACTGCCTGCCCTAAATTCAGCTCAGTGCCCCTCTCGCACTCCAAATCCCTTAATCCAAAACCAGGGCCTGCACCCCAACCCTCTACTACTGCCTGGTGAAAAAGAGGGAGGATGGGGGAGGAAGGGAGGGAGGATGGAGTGAGCAGGGGCGGGGCTCAGAGAAGGGGGCACAAAGGAGGCAGGGCAAGGGTATTTGGGTTTGAGGTAGATCTTGGATTGTACTTAAATTCAAAAGGTGATCTCGTGCTTAAATAGGTTGGAGACCACTGTTCTAGCACATCAATTACTAAGTGATCTGATTAATCCTATTTTGCAAACAGCCACAGAACCTGAAGAAGTGCTGTATATGTAGCTCCAAAGCTGGTCTCTCACCAACATCTGTGCGCCCAATAAAAGATATTGCCTGGCCTCTCTCATCGCCTAAGAGCAACATGGCTCCAAACAAACTCACTGTAACTCTCCTACCCGCTCGCCCAGTGTCAGCAGGCGCATTAGCTGCCCTGCCTTGGGGCTGACGCGCCGGAACGCCAAGCGGGGCTTGCCCCTTATCTCGCCAGCCTGGCCGCGGCCCCAGCTCTGTACGAGGCAGCAGGCGGAGGTCAGAGGCCACAGGGCTCCGCGGGCGGGCCGGCCCCCAGCCACGCCAGGCCCCTTCGGCAGCGCTTGCGGGACGCGCCAGACACCGTGCCACCCGCCCCAGCCCACTGCCCCCGGCTGTGGCCCGGCTCTCGCGGAGGCGCCTGCTGCCCCGCCCCCATTCCCTGAGGGAGCGGCTCACACTACAAGGGAGCAATCCCAGGCCCATGCGACGCCGCTTGCGCACTGGCGAGCTGTCGGAGCGAACACAGCGCATGCGCAACAGCTCAACCGCCTTGGGGCAAAAGTGACGTCAGATCACGTTTTCAGCCTGTCCGTGAAGAAGCCGATGACAGCTTCCATTGCCCGACCCAAACATGGCCGTCTGCGTGTCGGGATGCGGAAACGTCCGTTAGGAGCGTACTAACTCCTGGCACATGCCACGCGCTGTGGAGGAGCCGGGTTGGGGCTGGCCGGCGGGGGAATCTCTCGGTTCATACAGGTGCGGAGGGCTCGGTGGGGAGGGAGCTGCGGGGCGAGCCCGGCCAAGCCAGAAGTGCGGGGTTCGGGGGGGCTCTGAGGTGCTTGGTGCCCTTTGCCCTGCAAGGCCGGGCTTGGGCCATTCCCTGGCTCTTCTGATTTAGAGTCTGGGGAATTAAGACCAGTGGAAAAAACATCATTTGGCAGCACCGTCAGGCACTGGCCAGGGACTTAGGAGAACTGGCTGCAGCTACCAGCTCTAAGATGGACCCCCTGTGTGATTGGGGTAAGGCAGGCTCGTGTTCCCCTTGTTAAGTGGTGCTGCTGTAACAAAATAGTAATAAAAGTAATCTGCCTCCCTCTGCTTCCCCGTCCTAGAGCTTTCCCCATCCCCTCACCTATGGGACTTTAAATAAACAGCCCACAGCACCATTTCGTGTGTGTGAATTTTTTTAAGGCGTAAAAGTTTTCCTCGCAGGTGGAAGACATGGACAGTTTTGTTGAACAATTGACAAGAGGGGCAGAGGAGGAGTTTACAGAAGAGTCTGCATGGGATGGGTCTGCAGTAAGGATTGAAAGCAGTTCACTTCCAGCTATCCATTTACCTGTACTTCCAAGGTATCTTCAGCATACAAGTAAGTGTAATTTTCTGTTAACTGCTTACTCATAGTAGCACATACTGGTAACTAGGGCTACACTACAATGCTATTTCAAGATACTGGAGTATCCCAAAATAGCTATCCTGTGTCTTCACAGCAAGCCCATTATTCTGGGCTCACTATTCCAGTGTTCCTGTAATCCTCATTCTACGAGGAGCCAGGGACCTTTTGGAATAGCATAAGAACATGTGGCCAATACCAGAAGCCCCAGAGGGAAGGAACACAACAGGTAGTCCTCACATGATCCCTCCCCTGTCGCCCACTTCCAGAGAAACAGAGGTTTGGGACACCATTCTGGCTAATAGCCATTGACGGACCTAACCTCCATGAATCTATCTACCTCTTGTGGTGACCTTTCAGTTTAATAAATCAATTTGTTTGAAAGCCTTCTTTACTGACACCTCAATCTGGATCCATTTGAGATTTGTCACTTAAAAATAATTGCTCAGGTGTGGGAATCTCCCCATATCCTCTGCAGTCAAGACCAATATCAGTAATTCATTTATCTTCTTAGCAACAGCCTTTTTTCCCTTGAGTGCTCTTTTAGCACATGGATCATCCAGTGGCCCTTCTGATTGTTTGACAGGCTCCCCACTTCTGATGGACTTAACACTCATTTTGCTGCTAGTTTTGTGTCTTTTCCAGAATGCTCTTCAAAGATGGATTTTTGGCTCTTCAGAGATGGATTTTATATTTTTATATTTGACTTGCCAGAGTTTATGCATCTTTTTATTTTCCTCAGTAAGATTTAACTTCCAATTTTTAAGGGACATATTTTTGCTTCTAACTGTCTCTTGTACTTTAAGACACTGTGATGCTTTCTTTTTTTTTTTTTTTAATTTGGCGTATGTGTTTAGTTTGAGCCACTATTATGGCATTTTTTAAATTGTTTCTGGGCTTCTTGCAGGAATTTCATTCTTGTGACTGTTCCTTTTAATTTCTGTTTAATTAACTTCCGTATTTTTGTGGTGGTCTCCTTTTTGAAGTTATTTTGATATTTTCCCCCTGTACAAGCATGTTTAATTTAATTTAATTTTGGTCGCTATTATTGAGTGGGTCAGCTATATTCACCTCTTAGACCAGGTCCAGTGCTCCATTTAAAACTTTTCCCTCGTGGGTTTCAGGACTTGCTGCACAAAGAAGCAGTCCTTAATGGTGTTTAAAAATTTTATCTCCCTTCTTTTTATCCTGCTTGCCATCCTAAGGCAAAATATATCCAGTCGATATGGGGAAAGTTGAAACTCCCCATTACTATTGGGTTTTCTGTTTTTTAACCTCTGTTCTCTCCCTGAACATTTTACAATCACTGTCACAATGAGATGGTCAGTAATACATTCCCACTATACTCTCGTTATGTAAGCATGGAATTTCTATCCACAGAGATTCTGTTGATACTATTTGATTCATTATGACTCTATGCTTTTTTTTCCATGGATAGTGCCACTTCCCCCACCAGCATGATCTACTTTGTCAGATCTATATAATTTTTACCCTGTTTTCACTATATCCTATTGATTATCACCATCCTGCCAAGTTTCTGTGATGCCCTATTTTATCAGTATCTTTCACATTCAGTTTTACCCATCATAGTGTTCAGACTTCTAGCATTTGTATAGCACTTATAAAATTTATCAATATTTAGTTCTCACATGAAGGCAGACATAATTGAAAAACAGTCTTTTGACTGTTCTTCATTTCCCACCTGTACTTTATCAACTTCCAGCCTCTCCTCTTTATTAGGATGTAGAGTATTCTCTTTAATAAATATTCCCTTACCGTATCTCTGTGTCCAAACTGGACGCTCCACATTTCCAAACCTGCTTGTTTTCTCCCCAACTCCATCACAACCTTTTTAATTTTACATGCCACCATTTTGGTGAAGGTAGAGCCCATCCTTCCTATATAGGTTCTTCCTTTCCCAAAAGATTCCTAATAATCCCTCCTCTGAATACCATCATTTAATTCACACTTTTGAGACCGTGCAGTTCTGCCAAAGTGGCCCTGCATGTGGAACTGGATGCATTTCAGAGATTGCTACCATGGAGGCGTTTAGCAGACTAAATGCAGCCTCCAGGGCCTCTCTCCTACCTTTCCTTAAGTCAGTGGTAACTGCATGTACCATTACCACCAAGCAGTTCCTCCACACACACAGACACAGACACAGAGTTCTCTAAGGTCCACAACCTTTGCACCTGGCAGGCATTTAATCATATAGTTCTCCTGGGCATCACAAACTCATCTATGTTTCTAATAATTGAATCCTCCATGACTATTACCTGTCTCCTCCTAATAACTGGAATTCTCTCCCCTTACAAGGGTATCCTCATGCAAGAGGATATCATCACATCATCTGAGAGGAGAGTCCCAACTATGAAAGTCTTAAGGAAGGAGAACATAAAGCTAGAGCGGAGAGAAACAATGTTCTTTCCACTCCAGCTTTATGTTCTCCTTCCTTCCTTCTGACTTTCATTCTTCTTAGCACAGAAACTATCAAATTAGGTGTGGGACTGCTCTGCTGGATCCCTGAAAGTCTCACTTATGTATCTACCAGTCTTCCTTAGCTCCTTTGGTTCAGCCATGCTAGTCTCAAGAGCCTGTACTCAAGCCATGAACTGTGTGCTCTGAATGCACATATATGCCACCAGTTGATAAGGCAGGTGATTGTACGTGCTGCATTCAGTGCAATATGTTGGGTAGCCCCTACTCTGCTGCTGGACTTCTGCCTGCGTTATTTTTATTCTTGAAGGATTGTTTGTTAGTTTGTTTGGGGGGGAATGGGTAGGGTAGAGGGGGGAAGTTAGTGACCTCAGTCTAAAGTATGTTCAGTGTATCTGGCTTTCACACTCCTATGAATTCCTGTGTTTGCTGTTTCTGTTCACTAACTTCTCTACTTAGGAGCTGTTTTTTTTTTAAATTCCTGTTCTCCCTGAATTCATCCCACCCCCTTCTGAAGGGATCCTAGAGGACAGTGGTCCCCAACCATCTAAGGCTGCCGGGCGCAAGGGGGCGTGACCGTTCGCCTGCTGGGCGCTAGAGGGCGGGGACACTTGGGTGCCCGGGGGCAGGGCTCCCCCCATAGCCACGCGCCCCGGTAGGAGCTGTTTTTTTTTTAAATTCCTGTTCTCCCTGAATTCATCCCACCCCCTTCTGAAGGGATCCTAGAGGACAGTGGTCCCCAACCATCTAAGGCTGCCGGGCGCAAGGGGGCGTGACCGTTCGCCTGCTGGGCGCTAGAGGGCGGGGACACTTGGGTGCCCGGGGGCAGGGCTCCCCCCATAGCCACGCGCCCCGGGGTCAGTGCCCCCCCCAAGCGCCGCGCGCCCAGAGCGCGGGC